ACTTGTAAAAGAAAAGGGGAAATTATAGAGTTCTATATGAAGGGGATCAAATATCAATCGTTTCCATGATCAGAAACCTACATCATCATCTAAGTCTAACTATCAATAAATAAAAAAGTATTTTGTCGGTTAAACAATTGTTTTTAACAGTGCTCTTCACAAAAGAACGGCTGAAAGAAAAGAATGACACCAACACAAAGTTTTTAAGATTCTGATAAGATAACTTATGTTATATGTTCATAAAAAACAACATTGAAATGTTAATATATTTGTATGTGTTAAGCAGTATAGTTAAACTTTAATTTACTACCTTATGTAAGTGGTCTTTTCACCAATTGTCAAACAAACACTACAATTGTAAGAAGTAAGAAAATAGCTACCTTCGAATTTCATTATATTCTTTCTTCGTGATCACCCTCTATTTAATAGCATTGACAAGAAAGATAGAGTGACTGGAATATCTTCAATACACCCATTTTCCATAATTTAAGAACAATCCATCCAGATCTATTTACACCCATATTCCATAATTTAAGAACAATTCAGCCAGATGTATTTACACTCATTTTCCATAATTTAAGAACAATTCAGCCAGATCTATTTAGACCCATTTTCCATAATTTAAGAACAATTCAGCCAGATCTATTTACACCCATTTTTCATAATTTAAGAACAATTCAGCCAGAATCTATTTACACCCATTTTCCATAATTTAAGAAAAATTCAGCCAGATCTATTTACACCATTTTCCATAATTTAAGAAAAATTCAGCCAGATTTATTTTTTACATAACTGTTGACGGCAACTCTCGATTACTCCAATCATTAGAAAAGTTCACAAAGTAGAGTAAGTACAATTTATCAACAACGTTTACAATGTTGTTACGAAGATAAACTAAAACTTAGAACTTTCCTGGTACCCTCCTTCTCGTTTACTGATGAAGATTAAAAATTTAATTTCAAGATGTGTTAAGATTTCTCTAACGCTTTCAGCTGCACAGTGTGGCTAAGTAGCTGGAGAAAAATTCAGGGACTTGGATAAAATATTAAGGAATACCTTATTTTCAGTGGAGAGGAAACACAGGTAAGTATATTTTGTCCGTTTACTTTAGGATGTCCCATTTAAAGTTTGTAATGTTATGTTATGTATCTATGTAGAACATATATGGTGAATGAGTGAAGCTAAAAATTATGATTAATTTATTCAAGTCTCTGACGTTCAGTTAACTATTATACATTATGCATCTATGTAGAACATATATGGTGAATGAGTGAAGCTAGAAATTATGATTAATTTATTCAAGTCTCTGACGTTCAGTTAACTATTATACATTATGTATCTGTGTAGAACATATATGGTGAATGAGTGAAGTTACAAATTATGATTAATTTATTCAAGTCTCTGACGTTCAGTTAACTATTATACATTATGTATCTATGTAGAACATATATGGTGAATGAGTGAAGTTACAAATTATGATTAATTTATTCAAGTCTCTGACCTTCAGTTAACTATTATACATTATGTATCTATGTAGAACATATAAGGTGAATGAGTGAAGTTAGAAATTATGATTAATTTATTCAAGTCTCTGACGTTCAGTTAACTATTATACGTTATGTATCTATGTAGAAGATATATGGTGAATGAGTGAAGCTAAAAATTATGATTAATTTATTCAAGTCTCTGACGTTCAGTTAACTATTATACGTTATGTATCTATGTAGAAGATATATGGTGAATGAGTGAAGCTAAAAATTATGATTAGTTTATTCAAGTCTCTGACCTTCAGTTAACTATTATCGTCATTATCAGGTTTTTAGCAGATGTCAAAATGTGTCTTAAACAAATCTATTTGTAGAATTCCACCACATGGCATATCGTATTAGCAACAATTAATATCAAATAAACAATAACAATTTTAATAACATTGAAATCGAACATTGTCTCTTCATGTCATGTATATCAAAAGCATATACTACAAAACAAACGTCGTCTGTTCACAACATTTGTATAAAAACAAAATACTGCAAATTAAGGTTAGTCTGTTCACACGATGTGTATCAAATACACATAATACTGCACACCCAACCTCGTCTGTTCACACGATGTGTATCAAATACACATAATACTGCACACCCAACCTGGTCTGTTCATACTATGTGTATCAAATACACACAATACTGCACATCCAACCTCGTCTGTTTACACAATGTGTATCAAATATACATAATATTGCCTACCCAACCTCGTCTGTTCACACTATGTGTATCAAATACACATAATACTACACACCCAACCTCGTCTATTCACACGATGTGTATCAAATATACATAATACTGCACACCCAATCTCGTCTGTTCACACAATGTGTATCAAATATACATAATACTGCACACCCAACCTAGTCAGTTCACACTATGTGTATCAAATATACATAATGCTGCACACCCAACCTCGTCTGTTCACACGATGTGTATCAAATACACATAATACTGCACACCCAACCTCGTCTGTTCACACGATGTGTATCAAATACACATAATACTGCACACCCAACCTGGTCTGTTCATACTATGTGTATCAAATACACACAATACTGCACACCCAACCTCGTCTGTTCACACCATGTTTATCAAACATACATAACAATTTCTATTGTCCAGTGAATAATATACCTAAGAAATATCTGTTTTTCATGTTCGTAGTAATCCAGTATTGTTTTATTTATAAGTTCAAATATTTCTTAGGCTATATTATCCTCACTATTCTATTTATTAGTGTTAAATGCCTGTGTAATAATATGAGACCAGAGTTAACTGAACCGTGTTATGTAGGATATACATACATACATAGATAATTCCATGATCTTATGAAAACGCGTAGGTTCCACAAATCAATGACATATAAAAATAAGAAACCCCATGAACCGAACACTTTCAAAATGAAGACCTTTCTTCAACAGGGGACAAATATCGATAGTTTGCCGCTGATGAAAAGAGGAGGTCTGCAGTTTATAGGTTAAGATGTTTCTTATTTATTTCTGTTACATATAATTTGCCCTTCTTCTCTTTGCAGAGATCCAGTACTTTTTTTGTTGCCCCCCCCCCCAGTGGCACAGCGGTATGTCTGCGGGCTTACAACGCTAGAAACCGGGTTTCGATACCCGTGGTGGGCAGAGCACAGATAGCCCATTGTGTAGCTTTGTGTTTAATTCCAAACAAACAAACTTTTGTGTTGTGATAATTCACCGTTCCTTGAAAAGACATATATTATTCCTACTTTTTGGAAATTGAAAACATGAGAAGTAGAGAAATATTATTTGTTTGTATTAAGTTAATGAACTTTAATCATATTTCACGAGTAAGGTGTATGACAGCTTGGTGATACCCGTATGCACGTTTACTTTTGAAAATACACGAAAACTACATTTAAGTTCAAAAGGCAGATACATTGAAAACACTTTTAATATCTATGATGTTTAAATTCTCCTTTCTTTATTGGAAACACTAATTCTTGCATGTTGTTTTTGTTTTAGCACAATGTTACATAACGTGCTATCTTTGCTGTTTCCATCATGGAGAATCAAACCCAAGATTTTAGTGTTGTAAGTCTCTAAGCCTACCACTCACTTGCCGTGGGACTCATGTATGCACAAAGGAGCTAATTTGAAATATACACAAAATGTAAGGCGATTTAAAAAGTTCGACGTCAGCACAAAATCCAAAGGAGATAGCTATGGCGGATATTCATTATTTAAGAACCTAGGGGATGATAAGAATTTCAATAGAATAAAATGATTTAAGGTTGTATGTTATTACTCCTGCCAACCATGCGTTAAAATGTAAAATATTTCATTAAACCGTATTGGTTTATCTATAAATAAAGAAGTTGTGACGTGATTTTTAATCCTTATATTATTTGTTTGTTTGACTACACTGTCTGCATAATTACTTTGTCATTCCTGGATTTGACTCAGCTCTTATATATCTTCTCTTTCCATTATATGTTGTTGTTTTTTTACTTGAATTTTCTTTTAAGTCAATCAGCTTGCGATATTGTTTGATTTTTTTTCAATAATAAGTTCTTTTTGCTGCCACGCTAGTTTCAATATATATATATATATATATATATATATATAAAGATATAATGTACAATGCAGCAACCTCCAAATAAAAAGATAAAAAAAATATTCCTTCCCAAACTCTCAGCTTTGGTACTTTACACTATACAATGCGTCATCGATCTCTTGAGACAGGTCCTACTCTGTCGCCCTTTCAATCTCCAATGGTAAAAATAAATAATAGAAAACAAAAACAAAGTCTCGCATCATGACTTTAACTTACTTTAAAGAATAATTTCTGACCTTGAACCCACTCTCCTATATCTTTATATAATCAAAAGTATCTTTTGAGAGAAATCAAGCGTCATGCCAAAACTATGAAATTATACCAAAATCCTTTAACGCTTTCTTGTTATCTGGAGAGTGACTTTTTATCTTTTAACTTAGAAAAAGTCTGTGTACCACTAACAATAGAAACAGTTTTCTGTCAATATTGAAAACAATAAAAACAAGTGACCTAAACAAATAGAAAAAAATATGTTTCCTTGCAGTTTGATGTTAGTGATGTGTTTAAAACGTGCTTACAAAAAAATGTTTTACTAGAAAGTAATTTTATAGGCATAAAAACTTTAAGTTAACCAACATCAGTCATGCTTGTGTAAGTCAAATTAAACCAGTACTTTGAACTAAGATTCCATTGGCTTTCTCAGCAAATGAAGATAGATTTAATAAAAATCATGATTTTGTTGTTTAATTAATTTTCTCGTTTAAACAGTGCCAACACTATTTTTTGTTAAAACTAACCTAGCCCAAAAATAAAATGTCATCATCTTTATATTTTGATCGAAAGATGGCGCTATACTGACAATGGTTATATTTTGCATGCATAGATACAAAGAACGACGAGTAAGTGTCCAGTAGTTCGTACTAAGCGCTTGACGCTTGCGGTAGCAGATTTCCGGTTCGGGTACCAATTTTTTCAGGATGTCATTTCTGCTCCGTTTGGTGCTCCTAGCTCCAGGTGAGTTACAATAATATTTGAAAGTGTTTAAAAAATCAACCTTATTAAATATTAAAATCATTTGCCTCTAAAGTTTTATACCTTTGAATGTATTAAAAAGTTTTAATAACAAACATCATCTCTCCGTTTGCATAATGTTTTCAGTTAGTGTTTTGTAACAGTTTCTCTAAACTCCGAAACAGATTTCTACATAGAATGTATACGTTTCTTTTTATTTCGTGAGAGATAAGCGCATGATATGAAACAAATAAAATATTTCGAAGAACTAATGTTAGATGTTGACATTCACTGACTACAAGGGGTTTTAATATTACGTGAAAAGGTTTTTTAAGAACCGAATCAGTTCTAGGAAACATCATTCTTATTAAAGACCTGTTATGCTATACACATGTAAATGTTAGATTACTGGGATTATCTAATCATTGTATAAGCTTAGGCTTTTCGTAACTACGTCAAAACCGTTAAGTAAAGCATAGGAGTAGTATTTTATTTGATGGAGTTTATTTATAAGTGTAAGTTTCAGATTTAAATATTCTTTGAGAATTAAAGTTACTAGTTTATTGGTAGCGAAGAAACGGACAGACGTTTGTTTCAGGTTTTGAATAATATTAAGGTTATAATATATGTATCTATAATACGGGACTAGTTATTTATTTTTAACAAGGTTCCAGGTTTTTTTTCTCCCAATCAAGTCAAGTTTCAGAAAACCATCTGTCTCACAAACAAACATATGCCTGTACAAAACTACTAATAACTTTTAACAGCGTTTTTTGTTTACTTAAGAGACATTACAGCTGTACTTTGGTTGCAGTGGCCCTAACTGTGTGTATTGTAGAATATATAATACATTTATAGCACACAGTACCTTTCTTTCTGTAGTGTCCTACATCTCTGAAAGTGAATGTAACATTTAAAATAAAAAACATTGGACATTCATTTGATGATTTTCTTGTTGAACACCCTTAGTGTAATATATTAGTGTTAGACGTTATACCAACTCTCTCTTCGAATAGGCCCGGAATGGCCAGGTGGTTAGGGCTCTCGACTTGCAATCTGCGGGTCGCGGGATCGACTCCCGTGCCACCGAACATGCTTGCCTTTTCAGCCGTGGGAGCGTTATAATATGACGGTCAATCCAACTATTCGTTGGTAAAAGAGTAGCCCAAGAGTTGGCGGTGGGTGGTGCTGATAGCTGCCTTCCCTTTAGTCTTTCCCTGTTAAATTAGGGACGGGTGGCGCAGATAGTCCTTGTGTAGTTTGCACGAAATTCATAACAAACCAAACCCTGGTAGAATAACGAATCACAGGATGTTTCGTGAGTGGCTATGCCTCACCTGGCGAGCAAAAGCGCAAGATTAGTATGGGTATTTCCTGTAGTTTAAACTATCTGAATTTTATTAAACTAATAAGATTAGTATGTGTATTTCCTATAGTTTAAACTATCTGATTTTTTATTAAACTAATAAGATTAGTATGGGTATTTCCTATACTTTAAACTATCTGATTTTTTATTAAACTAATAAGATCAGTATGAGTATTTCCTGTAGTTTAAACTATCTGAATTTTATTAAACTAATAAGATTAGTATGGGTATTTCCTATAGTTTAAACTATCTGATTTTTCAATAAACTAATAAGATTAGTATGGGTATTTCCTGTAGTTTAAACTATCTGAATTTTATTAAACTAATAAGATTAGTATGGGTATTTCCTATAGTTTAAACTATCTAATTTTTATTAAACTAATAAGATTAGTATGGATATTTCCTGTAGTTTAAACTATCTGAATTTTTATTTAACTAATAAGATTAGTATAGGTATTTCCTATAGTTTAAACTATCTGATTTTTTATTAAACTAATAAGATTAGTATGGGTATTTCCTGTAGTTTAAACTATCTGATTTTTTATTAAACTAATAAGATTAGTATGGGTATTTCCTGTAGTTTAAACTATTTGAATTTTTATTTAACTAATTAGGTTAACTTTAATACATTTCTTTCCACAAGATACAAGTGAAAGTCCTTTCCTATTTCGTAGCATCTCTCGACGTAATGTTTGTCAAAGTCTTTAATGTTTTATATCCCAGTGGCACAGCGGTATGTCTGCGGACTTATAACGCTCGTAACTGGGTTTCGATACCCGTGGTGGGCAGAGTACAGATAGCCCTTGTGTAGCTTTGTGCATAATTACAAAGAAACAAAACTTTAATGTTTATCACCCCCCGATGGCTAAGCGGTAATTCTGAGGGTTTTTTTACGATAAAAAATCGCGGTAGGCAAAGCACGGATAACCCTTCGTGTTTAACAAATCATTATTGTTTTATCAAACATTTGAATTCTCTTTCTCTAAAACATAAGAAACAATATAATTTCTTGTTTGTCCACAAGAAGAATGTTAGAGTTCTGCTCCTCTCTCATATTGTTTTCGTTTATATTTTCCTTAGACAATGCAGCTATAATCAGTACGACTTCTATCCTGTAGACAGACACAACTAGAGCGGTTCATTCCACTTGCACCAACAAAACATATCTACGTACTTCATGGACGCTACACTTAAATTAAAGTTTCCTATATACGTGCGTTATTCGACGAACACACCTCCTAGTGGATGTGGAGAATATTAGAGTAGGCGTTCCATTCCTGCACTCGATATCAAATTTCGTTATAAATTCCGTGAATAGTGATACAGGAAGATAAGGAAGGTGTACCATTAATTATATTAAAAACTAAGTCAAGTTCATGAGTGTTATATTAATAAAATCTTCTGAACAAGAATTAATGAACCGTATAAGTCAGAACAAAAAAAGGGGAACTTATAAGTTAATGAAGCCACTGAACAAAATTTCATAAAGTTTTAAATCGGTACACCAGAAAACTAAAACTTATAATCATCAGTTGTGTAGTTAGTGATATTTTAAGCCATAATCTCAATAATATGTTACAAGTTTTAGCCAATTTAGGTGACTTATATTAGCCCTAAACCAATATTATAATAACCTACCAATCATCATAATTTTACCAATTAATCCAATAATCATTTAAAGTTATCAAATGCATTATATCAATGAAGATCTATCGAGACTAACAACAAACAGAAACGGAATATGTTACTACTACATAGATGAGTTATAGAAACGGAATATGTTACTACTACATAGATGAGTTACAGAAACCGCATATGGTACTACTAGATAGATGAGTTATCAGAAACGGAATATGTTACTAGTAGATAGATGATTCACAGAAACAGAATATGTTACTACTCGATAGATGCGTTACAGAAACGGAATATGTTACTACTCGATAGATGATTCACAGAAACAGAATATGTTACTACTCGATAGATGCGTTACAGAAACGGAATATGTTACTACTCGATAGATGATTCACAGAAACAGAATATGTTACTACCAGATAGATGCGTTACAGAAACGGAATATGTTACTATTAGATAGATGAGTCATCAAAAATGTAAACATAGCTTAAAGTCAGATTTATGGTTCTGATCTGCATATTTTGCATTACAGCATATGTTTAGAGTTTCCATAATTTAACCTACAATGTACGTTAATCTTTTCAATACTGGTAGGTTATATTTGTTCCAGCATAAGTTTGTAACCTAATAAGATGTTACTCTCACCTCAGAATGTATAGATATATAACACAATTTCATAGATATCTTCTGGGACACATGTAATCTAACAGCAATGTCTGTTGTAACACATGTAGCCCAACAACAATATCTCTTGTAACACATGTAGCCCAACAACAATGTCTGTTGTAACACATGCAATATAATAACAATGTCTGTTGGGACACATGTAATCTAACAGCAATGTCTCTTGTAACACATGTAGCCCAACAACAATGTCTGTTGTAACACATGTAACTCAACAACAATTCCTGTTGGGACAATAATGCCTGTTTATAACACATACGGTAGAACCCCGTTATAACGCGGTAGTTGGGGTCCACGAAATGCGATCGTGTATTTTCCATATCTTTTGCATATTTATTCGGTATACGAGGTATTTTGCTTATTCATTTGAGAGCTTCGGATACCCAAGTTATCGCCCAGTTCTTGTTACGGATACCTTCTACTGTAACTCCATTTTATCATATATATCCCAGCATTACTACAGTTTGTAAAATGTTATCAATTATACTGTTGACATGGTTAAATGCAGTAAAACATTTATTGTCCCAAAAATTAATTGTTCATTATTTTAATAAATTCGTGGATTTTCTCATTCCGGCTGACTTCTGGCTATGAACAAAGTCTAGTATGCTTCTTAGCTGCAGGATAAGTATGCTGTCAACATCTTGGTTTTTAATCCATCGAATACTAGCTTCAAGGTGTTCTGTTGCTTCAGTGACCTTGAAAGGTGACTGGCTGGCAAGTCGTCATTGTCGTCTTCTTCGGTAAACTCTGGCTCTGGTGCTGTTTCTTCTCAGCTTGTGCCAGAAATGGGAAATCTGTCCGAACAGGCCTAAACAAATCACTGGTGAAAAGCGGAATCCAGAGTTTCGTCAGCGGTCACTTTTAAGTTCTTACGTTGGACACCAGATGGTGCTCTAAAACACGGAGTAGAACGCGAGGTTTTCTTCCTCTTCGTAAGGTGGATTCATTAATCCCAAAGTCACGAGCAACCTGAGATTGCTGTATACTATTTTTAATTTGATCCAGACCAGAGCATACAATTTATCTTTTCCGATAAATGATTTGCGTTTACGTGAGGATTTATCCGTCACGTGCAATTAAAAAATAATAAGTAAATCGTGAAAACCAAAGGTTAACGCACACATTTAGGAAGAAAAAAAAAATCTTAAAATGCCAGAAGACGAATAGGCTGTGATAGAATTGCTTTTCTGTTCAGCTGTTATATACCGGACTGTCCTCTAGGAAGCAGCATGCTTTGGTCACGTGTCTATAAAGGTTTCTCACAAAACTAAAACGCGACAAGGACAATTCTTTTAACGAAAAATGAGCAATATCGTTGAATTACAAAATCTTAATAGAAGAACTCGTGAATTTATCGATAGAAAATTGGGGGCCAAACAATGACCGAGTTTTATCGGGGTTCTACTGTATCAAAACGTTGTTTCCTTCAATCTTAGCCCCCCCCCCCCAGTGGCACAGCGTTATGTTTGCGGACTTACAGGGCTAGAATCCGGGTTTTGATACCAGTGGTGGGCAGAGCATAGATAGCCCATTGCGTAGCTTTGTGCTTAATTACAAACAAACAAACATACTTCAATCTTAATCTATTTTGTCCTACTTATATGTGTGAAATATACCTTTTAATGGCATCTCTCTCGGTTGTTGTTGATTAATCTCATGTTATGCATAATTAGAATTAAAGTTTCTACAGAAAGAGAATACAATTGAAATTGATAACGTAAATTTTAGTTTAACATGAAAAGTGACCGAATCATGTTAGCGTCAAACATGAAACAGAAAGACTCGCCGAAGATTAAATAAAATATTTTAGGCAGACACTTTGAGTTGATATTATGAATCAGCTTGGTAAAATAATGACATATAAAGTTTTAGCAAGGTTTGTTAAATATTTACGAACAAAAAAAAAAAGACAAGGTCTCTTTCTAAAATAAATTATTGAAAAATACGATTATGTTTAATTAAAATATATTTTAATATATATATATATATATATTACAATGTTTTATACACACCGAACACGTGCTCGAATAAGGTCATATATTGAAATTGATCATGCAAAAAACTGTTTAAAAGCCTTGTTTCAATTTCATTTTATCACGTAACAAAGACGCTTTATGTCCAACGTGTAGTGGAACAAAATACGTGTAATTCTTGATGTTGGATTATACCTGAAAACTGTATGTGTGTTCGTAGTGTTTGGAATGATAATTTTATTACCGTAAGAGCACGAACAACGAACAATTGTATTGTCAAACGTTTTTTATTTTTAAAGCTAATAAATATGGTTATTGGGTTTTATATGTATAAGTATCTTTAGGATGAGCGTAGTAAAATACGTGAAACTACCAAATCGTTTGAGTTCACATGAACCGTATTCGAAACTGGCATAGGAATGGTTAAATACACAATTTGATAGGCTTGTTAATTTCGCTGTTCTATTCAAGGTTCATTACTATTTGTAAATCACAAACAACTTCGAATAATCGGCGTGTTCTTTTGGTTAATGTGAGAAATTACAAGAAAATGAACTATGCTCGAGTAACTATTTTTAAAGCAATGAGTCACCTAAAGTCTTGTCTGTTCGACCTTAACTTCGCGTTATCACGTCTACTTAAGTTGTTTTGAATTCCGCACAAAGCTACACGAGGACTATCTGCGCCAACCGTCCTTAATTTAGCAATGATAGACTGGAGGGAAGGCTGCTAGTGAATACTATCTACCGCCAACTCTTGGGCTACTCTTATCAACCAACAGAACTGACCGTTACTTTATAACGACCCCACGGCGGGAAAGACGAGTATCTTAGATGAAGAATATTCGAATCCGCGACCCTCAGATTGCGAGCCAAGCGACCTAACCATCAGGCTATGTTAAGTCCATGTTGTTTTTGAACTAGAACTAAGCCGCTAAGCGCAATTAAAAGCAATATATATATATATATATCTCACAAAACAAACTTGGAAAAATTTATTAAATGAGGATAGTTTACTAGGAGTTTTCAAACAATGTATGATAGGAACTTGGTTTGAATCGAACACCATAAAATTAGGCTTAAAGTGAAAGATCGGCTCTGTGGTTAAATGAAACGTTGAACGTTTATGATCAAATAAAATCTGAATAAGCTTAGAAATCGGCTATAAAATTTTCTTTTTAAATAATCTATACTCCATTCTCTATTATTTCCGTAAAAGGAACTGGTGCTAAAGTTTTCTCCAGTAGCGGTTGTTGAATCACAAAAAAAGTGAAAGCCACTAATTTACAAATTGTATGCACGTGATGAAGATGTACTTGTTGTGAATCACCGTTTCGATTTCTATCAAAACTTTTGTTTGTTTTGAAGTTAAGCACAAAGCTACACAATGTGCTATCTGTGCTCTGCCCACCACGGGTATCGAAACCCGGTTTCTAACGTTGTAAGTCGGCAGAGAAACCGCTGTGCCACTGTGGGGGCCAAAACCTCTGAGACAGTGTTATATTTTGAATTCATGTTCTTCGAACGATATTGTACCTAAGCAATATTGTGGTATCAGTGCATCTGTTAAAAATGGTGAGTTACCAGTCAATAATAAATAAGTAAGAATGGTGAGTTATCAGTCAATAATAAATAAGTTAGAATGGTGAGTTATCAGTCAATAATAAATAAGTAGGAATGGTGAGTTATCAGTCAATAATAAATAAGTAAGAATGGTGAGTTATCAGTCAATAATAAATAAGTTAGAATATATGAAATATTGTGTTAACATTTTTTTTCGTGAATTTTTGTAATCGTAACGTTTAATACGTCCAGTCAGCTGGAACATTCCTCAACAAACCTGGAGCTGATTGGCCAAAGTGTGATACATTTCACCGTATTAGGTTAAGAAGCGGAAACAACCACCGAATTTTAAAGTGACGATTTCTACAAGTAAATTAGATCAAAGTGCCGAATTTCACTCGAAAGAAAAGGAAACCAGCGAGCGCACGTTTGCCAGTTTCAAACGTACATGTTTGGTAAACTTCATTGTATTTAAAATCTTCATCTGTGGTTAGAAGACTTTGAAATTTTCAGTTATACGAAA